TTCTGTACACTTTTTATTTGCTCACACATTAATTGTTGATCTTGGTTGAAAAGTTTTTATATTGCTTTTTTCCCCTTGCTTTTTAGCTTCTGGAAGAAAAATGTTGTGGAAAATTGGATCATATCAATTTCCCAGTATTTGAACCAAGTACTCCAGATCCTGCTCCTGCCAAAAATGAATCCTCTCCTGCCCCTCCAGATTCGGACGCTGATAAACTTAAAGAAAAAGAACCTCAAACCCAAGGAGAGAGCACAAGCCTGAGTTTAGCTTTGAGTTTGGGCCAGTCTACAGATAGCTTAGGTACCTATCCGGCTGATCCACAGGCTGGAGGAGACAATGCAGAAGTTCATGGTCAAGAAGTAAAACCTGAGAAGAGACCAAATCTGGTTGATCGACAGGCATCCACAGTTGAGTATCTGCCAGGCATGCTACATTCCAATTGCCCAAAAGGTCTTCTACCCAAATTCTCCAGCTGGTCTTTGGTGAAACTAGGCCCTGCTAAGTCTTACAACTTTCATACAGGTCTAGACCAACAGGGCTTCATTCCAGGAACAAACTATCTTATGCCTTGGGACGTTGTCATCAGGACAAGAGCTGAAGATGAAGGAGATTTAGACACAAATTCTTGGCCTGCTCCCAATAAAGCCATTCCTGGAAAGAGAAGTGCAGTTGTCATGGGAAGAGGAAGACGACGAGATGATATAGCTCGGGCTTTTGTGGGCTTTGAGTATGAAGACTCTCGAGGTCGGAGATTCATGTGCTCAGGACCTGACAAAGTAATGAAAGTGATGGGAAGTGGGCCAAAGGAATCAGCTTTAAAGGCCCTGAACAGTGATATGCCCTTATACATTCTGTCCTCGTCTCAGGGTAGAGGACTAAAACCACATTATGCTCAACTTATGAGGCTTTTTGTTGTGGTTCCTGATGCTCCTTTGCAGATAATACTAATGCCCCAGGTAAGAAATAAAACCCTCCTCATTCCCAAAGAAAGAAATGGTGATGCTTCTTTTGATTGGTTTTTTTTGTTGTTTTTTTTTTGTGTTTGGTATCGGGGATCAAACTTGGGATCTTGTGCTCGCGAGGCAGGCGATGGAATCACTGAGCTAAATCCCTGGCCCCACTATTCTGTTTCTTAAGAGGAATTGTAGGAACCTGGCAGAGTGGCTCGTGCCTGTAGTCCTAGCTACTAGGGAGGCTGAGCCAAAAGAATCTCCTGAGCCCAGAAGTTGGGGCTAGCCTGGCAGCATAAATGAGAAACCATTTCTTAAAAAGAATAATCAAATAAATTGTATTTTATTTTACCATTCTCATAGTAGCTAGAAAATTGTGGGGATTTTAATCATTTCACGTTGTCAGTTCACATCATCTGTTTCCAAAACAGAACTTGAACTTTAAAAACCTGTGGAAAAGCAGGATAATATTTGAGACTAAATAATGTACTATTGGCTGGGCATGGTGGCTCACTCCTGTAATCCCAGCACTCAGGAGGCTGAGGCAGGAGAATTACTGAGTTCAAGGCCAGCCTGAACTACATAGACTCTGTCTCAAAAGAAAAAAAAAAAAGACTGGATTTAGCTCAGTGGTTCTGCCGCCTGCCTCACAAGCACAAGGACCGGAGTTCAATCCCCAGTACCAAAAAAAAGAAAACAGTGTGCCCATATTTGCTTTATCTCTTTTTTTTTTTTTTTGGTTGTTGTATGGGGATTGAATACAGGGCCTTCACACTGAACTACATACCTAACCTTTTTTGTTTTAAACCTTTTATTTTTATTTTTTTATTTTGAGACAGGGTATTAGTAAGTCTCAAGGTGCCCTGGCTTGGCTCAAATTTGTCATTGTCCTACCCAGCCCCCGGCCAGGCCCCTGCCCCCTTTTGGTGCTAGGGACAGAACCCAGGGCCTTGCACATGCTAAGTGTATTCTCTACCCCTGAGCTTACCCTAGCACCCCCCCACCGTGATAGTTGGGGTTTGAATCCAAGTTTTGAGTCTTTCCACAGGTTAGGCAAGCACTGTACCAATGAGCTACATCCTCATCCCTTTTTAAAAATTTTCTAAGTTGCCCCAACAGGCTGGTAATTGCAATTCTCCTGCCTCAGCTTCCTGAATGGTTGCCATTGTAGGCATGCACCACACCCACCATCTGCTCAATCTTATATGCTCTTTGAACCTATTATTTATTTAGGCTCTTATCTTTCAGGTACTTCTTTTTTTTGGTACCAGGGATCGAACTCTGGACCTTGGGCTTATGAGGCAGGCAGCAGAACCACTGAGCTAAATTCCTGGCCCTCTTTTTTTCTCTTTTCTTTTCTTTTCTTTTTTTTTGCCAGGTATTTCTTGTTGAGAAATATAAAAAATAATTATGTTTCTTGTGTTTTTTAGGTTCAACCAGGCCCACCACCATGTCCAGTATTTTACCCAGAAAAACAAGAAATCACTCTCCCACCTGATGGCCTTTGGGTTTTGAGATTTCCTTATGCGTATGTGACTGAGAGAGGACCTTGTTTCCCTCCTAAGGAAAATGTGCAGCTAATGAGCTATAAGGTGCTCCGTGGGGTTCTTAAAGCAGTGACACAATAAGCGTTTTCCAGACAGTCCAATCCTAAACTTGAGCTACTTTTTGGTTTTGGTGTGTATGTGATGTTTGTTTTTTGGTATATGTATATCATTTGGGTTTTCCCAAATCCAAAATGTGTTTTGGCTATAGGAGTTCAGTATTTTGACAATAATTGTTTCACTGTTTCATTATATTGTTGATATTTATTGTAAGTGGTGTTGCAACTTCGTAATAAAGAATGGTTCTAAAATATATGTGGTTGATACCTCTGTTTTCCATTGTTTTGTTTCAGTGTCCATAATAAAACATGTTTCCATCATAACTGAATGCTGTATAACTACTATACTGAGCAAAACTTTTCTTTTTAGCTAAAATGATGTTTTGGTCAGGATTTTCCTGCTCCTGAAATTGTCTTCAAAACAAGGTGATCCATTAGATTATATATGGTAATGGTATGAAGAATGATTAATTGCAAAGCAAAACTAAAAACATTTCTTTGGCTCACAGTTCTGGTAGTTTAGCTTGTTTTGTTCTAACCATTTCATTCTTGTACTGATGAGGTCTTTTCTTGTTGTTTGTGGGTTTTTGTTTTTGTATTTTTTTGGTACCGGGAATCGAACTCTCTTATTTGTGTTTGTTTTGTTTTCCTTTGGTTTTTTGCAGTACTGGGGATGAAACCCAGGACCTCATACATGCTAGGCACTCTACCATGGATCAACACCCCCAGATTCCTCCCAGATACCGTATTGGAAACCAGTGCTACCTGAACTAAAGTTTTTAAAGCCAAGATATTAATGTAGATGTAATTCTTGTAAAATTTCTGTATTGGCTGGGTATGGTGGTGACACACACCTATAATCCCAGCTGAGGCAGTAGGATTGTTTTGAATTCAAGCCAGCCTTGGCTACATAGTCAGTTCAAGGCCAACCTGAACTACATAGTGAGAACTTGTCTCAAAAAAAAAAAAAAAAAAATCCTATACTGTAAAATAATTTGCTAAGTTGTACAAATCTTCTATGGTAACTTTTACCAGCATAAATACCACCACATAACCATTGATGCTATGTCATTTAGTGTACAAAATCAGATAGCAAAACTGTAATTGCGTATATGTTTCTAGACACTGATTTTGAATTGCTGGAGCAACAGAATTTAGTGAGATTTTAGTGTAAGTATGAAATATCCTTAATAAATCTGGCTACTTTTAAAGCTTTTTTTCCATTGAAAAATATACAGGGAGGTAAGTTGTTGTGGCTCAGTAGTAGAACACTTGCTCTAGCATGTGCAAGGACCTGGAGGGTTCAATCTTCAGTACCACCAACAAACAAAAATACAGGGAAGCTGGGTGTAGTGGTTTATACCTACAATCTGAGGCAGGAGGACTACAACCTGGAGACCAGCCTGGACAACTGAGAGAGACTCTGTCTCAAAATAAAAAGGGGTTGGTAATACAGCTCAGCGCCTCAGGGTTTCAGTCCCTACTACCAACAAAAGTGAAAGGAGTCTCATCGGAGAAACGGGGAGGATCTCTAGACCTCAGGAATTTTAAACCAGCCTGAGCAAACTAGTCAATCTCAGTCCCTAAAAATATACATATGATTTGCCTCCCTCAGGCTCTGGATTAATTCTTTTGTTTTCTTTCCTTTCTTTCTTTCTCCCCTCCCTTCCTTTTCTTTTTTCTTTTCCTGGGTCAGAGAGGCACGGTGCCTCTGAGCTAAATCCCCGACCTTGAATTAATTCTTTTGCATTGAAATGTGACTCTTAAATGTTTTGACAGTTTGGAACGTGTGGGATTAAAGGGAATTTAGTGGCCAGTTTTTCTAAGAAGTGATATTGTACAATCTTGCTGAAATTTCCTAAATTTATTTATTTTTGGAGTTGGGTCTTGAACTCAGGACCTTCTACATGCTAAGCACTCCTAGTCTTTTGTTTGTTTGTTTGTTTTGTTTTTTTGAGAGAGAGAGAGTCTAATTCAAGCTATACTTCAACTCACTATGTAGCCGAAGCAGGCCTCAAACTTGCGGCAGTCCTCCTGCCTCAGCCTCCCGAATGCTGGGATTACAGGCACAGGCGAGTGCCACCACGCCTGGCGGTTTATTTTTAAATGGACTTGTAAATTAACAAATATTTGAGTGCCTATTGTACACAAAGCCTCGGAAACAATTCGCGTTTCCTAGAGTTCATGGGCTCTTTCCTTTTGGGTGTGATAGTTTTCAAGGCAATTCTTGAATAGTCTTTTCTGCCTGAGTGATGACAAAAACACGGGCAGGTTTCCAAGCTTTTACCTCAGTTGGGAGCTTCTCAAAAGCACTGCGCGTCACCGCCTCAAGGCTAGGTGACACAAGCTCAAGGTTCAGTAGGACTTTTGCAGGCTTCCACCGAGGGGTCGGAGTGCGCCTGCGTGTTGCAGCCCCTTTGTTGCCCCGGCGCTGGGCTTGCGTTGCGCCTGCGCGGTGGGCCGGTACGAACAAGTGTGCTGCACCCCTGGCGCCGGCTGGGGGCGAGCAGATCTCGAGCAGCCCCAGCAGCCGTTGAGATCGTCGCAGCGGGGTTCCAGAGGCCCGGGAGGTGGGAGCCTTCCCACTCGTTGACTGAGATGTCGTCCACCGCAGCTTTTTGCCTTCTCTCTACCCTGGGAGGGTACTTGGTGACCTCATTCTTGTTGCTTAAATACCCGACCTTGCTGCACCAGAAGAAGAAGCAGCGATTCCTCAGTAAACACATTTCTCACCGCGGAGGTGAGAGGGGTCCCCAGAACCCGAGGGCGGAGGTGGGGGAGGCTGGGGCTCTGCGAAAGGTGGCCGGATGGAAAAACGGTGAGAGTTTGAGGAAGAATGGGATCGTGTGGCTAGAAGACTCCCTCTGAGGCGAAGGCGGTGTGAAGGGGAAGAAGGGAAAGGCTCTGGAGTCGGAGCTCTGGCGATGCTGTGTGGAATCCAGCGGTGTCGGGGGTTCGGGGAGGGGGAGCTGCCAGGGTGAAAATGAAGGGTAGACCGGGCATTTCTCAGCGGGTGAAAGGATGATCGCAGAATCCCTTCCTAGCAGCCAGGCATGAAGGGGGAGCGCCATGCAGATCCTGGGGTACCGCGGGGGAGCCGGGGCGGACTGCTCTGAGCAAGCCGGCAGCCGGCGGACTGGGGAGGCCGGGCGAAGAGCAGGGCTGAGATGGATCTGCGCGGCCCTGGTGTCTGCGTTGCTTGGGGGCTAGTCCCACCCTCACGCACCAGAATTGAGCCCTCGTAATTGAGAAGAGAGAGAAACCGAGTCCCCCAGCCCGAGACATTTCCCAAGGTCATAGTTAGAGCTTGGGACCAACTGGAGCAGGGAGCTGGAGTCCTGGTTACGAGTTCCCAACCCTGCACCTGATTTTGTTTGTTTGAGCACCATCCTCCAAAAAACATAACACGTGGATTTCCAAAAGAAAACGATTTCGTGTATGACAAGGAATTTTTTAAAACGGACATTTCTTTGGGAAAGTACCTATTATAAAGATGCTAGGTAGTCCACCCTCAGTTTCTAAGATTACAGGTCAGATCTTTGTGTCTTCACTGTAGTGTAACAGTGCGACTTCATTATATTTCAAGCGTAATATATAAAATGTTGTGAAATTGGAGTGTTTTAGTCATCTTTAACTTCAGGGATGCAAGTAACACCGATTTAAAATCGCTTGAAATTTACAATCTAATGTAAATTGCAGGAGTTCACAGTCTAAAACTTGATTTAGTGTCCTGGCCCCTATTATGAAAAGTATTGGGAAGAAGAAAGTTTTAAATGTCACAGAAATGTGTTATCATTCTCCTGTATAATTTTATGTTAAACACAGTTCGAATGAATGACTTCCATAGTTAGCCTAGTCCCCCTCAAAAAGCAGTAAAGGTTTAAAGAGTTGATAGTTAAATGTCGTTTTATTGACCCTAATGTGGGTTATCTGGCTTATTTTCTTTATGGTACTGGGAATTTAACCCAGGGCCTTCATATAAGATACACCCTCAGCCCTTTTGGCGGGAGGGCTTGCTAAATTCCCAGGATGGGAATTGTGACCCTCTCATCTCAGGCATGTACCACCACACTTTACTTTATCTGTATTTTAATAAAAACATAAACTAGGATTTTTTTTTTTTTTTTTGGTACTGGGGATTGAACTCGGGTCCTTGCGCTTGCGCAGCAGGCGGTGAAACCACTGAGCTAAATCCCTGGCTAAACTAAGATGTTTACTAACCACAGGATGACTACACTACTAACCTTTGGGACCAGGGACCAGCTTTTAGTGTTCAAGTTGTTACCGAAGACATGTTTCAGTGGTAGTAAATCCTATTCTGGGGCTTAGTAGTACACACTGCAGTAGTGTTTACTGATTCACAAAAAGCGTGCTTATGAAAAACCCCAAACAAAAACAAAAAACCTTAGATCTTCTAAGAAGCTAACTAAACTGTCATTATGAATTATCTGAATTTTATTTTAGAAGAAATACATGTTAATTTTTGAAATTTTGTGAGTGGAAAAAAACAACAGTCCACAGAGACTTAAAATGTGCTAGAACATCGTAGCAAGTATCAAATTGAGGAACGTGAGATCTCAAGTACTCATTTACTGTTTGTTTGTTTGGGTTTTTTTGATACTGGGGATTGAACTCAGGACCTTGCGCTTGCAAGGCAGGCGCCCAAACCACTGAGCTAAATCCCCAGCTCAAGTACTCATTTACTGTTAGAAGTACTTTTAATGTATTTTCTCCTTAGATATGTCATTTCGGTATCACTCATTATGTGAAAATTTTCATTATTTGTAAATATAACATCAGTATTTGTATATTCAATAATGCAACAGCCTTTTGTGGGAATCTTGTTAAATATATTCAGACTCAAAATAGGACCTGTCAGGGCTGGGGATTTAGCTCAGTGGTTCCGGCGCCTGCCTCAAAAGCACAAGGTCCCCTGTTCGATCCCCGGTACCAAAAAAAAATAGGACCTGTCTGATGGTCCTATAAAAACTGTAATAAGGCTGGATATAAAAACTGTAATAAGGCTGGATATGGTGGTGCATGCCTGTAATTCCAGCACTCAGGTGGCTGAAGCAGGAGGAGCTCTGCGAGTTTGAGGCCAGCCAGGGCTACATAGTGAGTTCAAGTCCAGTCTGAACTACACACTGAGACCCTTTCTCAGAAAAACAAAAGGCAAAAAACTATAGTAAGTCCTCATATCTTAGTGCTTAATACACTCTTTTTTTAAAGAATCTTTTTTTAGTTTTTGGTGAGACAGGGTCTTGGTTTGTTTTGTTTTGTGTTTTTGTTTTTTGAGACAGGGTCTCCCTATGTAGTTCAGGCTGGCATCAAATGTGAAGTGATCCTCCTGCCTCAGGCTCCCAAGTGCTGGGATGACAGGGATGCGCCACCGTGCCTTGGTTAATACACTCCTAGTGAGTATGCACACCAAGTAATACAGAGTGATAGAAGAGACATTTACTTAAAATGCTTGTAACTCAAGATACTAAATATAAAAGATAAGTGACTAGGATGGAGTCACTCCTGATTGCTTGTAGTTTTTGTCTTGGATGCTAATGATAGCAATCACTTGTCACTTTGTACAAATTGCTCACATTTGTGCTCATCCTCTGTTGATCTAACTGCAAACCTGATATTTAGTATGGCATCTAAAACATATTTTCCTACATTTGGAATCATACTGTATATAAATTTATTCCAGATGCCCACAGAGTTAGCTGGAGAAATAAAGACAGCAGAGAAATAATTGAACGTAACCGAACCTATCTCCATGGGCCAGTTGAGTCAATCAATAGGCTTTGTAGAATATAATCTATTTATTTGGACTCAGTAACCAAAGGATAGATTATCATCAACTGATCACATCCCTTCCTTTCATCCTAATCTTTTAACTGTGGTCTCAAGGCAGGAAACTGTCACAATCTGGTCATCCTGCCACAGATTGATTTGGCAGGCAGTAAACCAAACTTTAATTGGTTGTGCAAGGAGAAAATGAGACATGAGTTTGTCTCAAAGTCACTGGAAGTTGCATCCTGCAGTTGCACTGAAGCATGTTCTGCTCACAGTATTGGTTCTCGTCAGCTCTCGTCTCTTCATTCTTAGTATCCGGGTACTCTTTCTCAAGTGTTTGTGAGGACTTCTTCCCACCTGATGATGACAACAGAGTAATTTAGCCTTTCTTTAATAGTACTGTCCTGCTTAATAAAGCAGACTTTTTTTTTTTTTTTTTTTGGTACCGAGGATCAAACTCGGGACCTTGCGCTTGTTAGGCAGGTGCCGGAACCACTGAGCTAAATCCCTGGCTAAAGCAGACTTTAATAGACTAAAATGTTCTTATTTTCAGTGATGACCATACATACATACATACATATAAGATCACACGTATATACATATAAGATATATGTATCTTTTTAAAAAAATTTTTTGTAGTACTGGAGATTGAAGGTAGAGCCTTGCACATGCCAGGCAAGTGCTGTTCCACTTAGTTACCCCTCATACTCTCTCTCTCTCTCTCTCTCTCTCTCTCTCTGTCTCCCTCTCTCTTATCTTGATCAGTTGCCCATCCTGGCCTCAAACTTGTAATTCTCCTAAGTATCTGGGATTATAGGCATGTGCCACCTTACTCAGCCATAAAAACAGTTTTTTCTTTGTTTTTTGAGACAGAGTCTTGCTATATAGCCCAAACTAGCCTTAAATTCTTGATTTTCTTGCTTAAGCCTCCCATACACTGGGATTATAGGCCACCACTTCTGACTCTTGTCATTAATTTTATAAACATCACAGGAGCACATATTTATATCATGTGTACAAGGTGGTAATGATAGTGGTGGTTGGAGCATAACTGTTACAACAAGTCTATATTTTTTGAACCTTTATTGGTATCTAAAACATTTGAGAGATAAAAGGAAACTGCACAGATAATTATTTCCTTTTTCGCCGCCTGCCTTGCAAGCGCAAGGACCCGAGTTCAATCCCCGGTACCAAAAAAAAAAAAAGACTAGTTAAGGAAACAAAATAGAATGTTTTCTTATCCTATCAGACTTTAACCAGTCACGAAGTAATTATGAAGCACAGTATGAAGGAGGAAAAGTTAATATAGAATGAAATATTGGGAAAAATGTAATGAAAGCAATGAATAAAATGAGAATTTTTCAGAAAATGTTTTCTCAAATAAAAATGTGCACTGTTAAAGAGGGAGTTGAGCGGATATAAACAGAAGAATAATGAAAATTATTATTCATACTAGGATAGCATGTAAATCTGTGCTAGGTACTAATTATCTTCCGTATTTCATACTAATTAAAAATTAAAATCTAGCTGTGCGTGGTGGTGAATGCCTATAATCCAAGCTACTCAGGAAGCTGAAGCAGGAGAATCTCAAATTTGAGGCCAGTTTGAGCAATTTAGCCAGACCCTATCTCAATAAAATGTTACAAGCTGGGCGGGATAGTGCATCCTATAATCCTAGATGCCGGTGGCTGAGGCAAGAGGATCACCAAGAATTCAAGGCCACCATATAGTTCAAGGCCGGCCTAAACTATACAGGGAGACATTGTCTCAACGAAACAAAATGAACCAAAACCCCAGAATAAATAGCATTTACAAAGGGGATGTAGCTCAGTGGTAGAGTGCTTGGCTATCATGTTGAGGCCCTAGGTTCAATCCCTAGTACTTCAAAAAAAAAGGTTAAAATTCTGTTTGCATGTAGAATGGTTATTTGCACACCCAGGAATTGTATATGCTGTTTATTAGGAGAAACAAAAAATTCATGACAAGCCAGCTTCTGCGAAGTAAATCATTTCATGAGAGAAGCCCTACCACTAAATAATTCCTTCGAGAGGAATTCATACTTCTTAATTGGTCCCTTAGTTAACTCTCCAGACTTTCACCATATGAGTCTGAGTAATTTATAAGTATTGTCAGTGTGGAATTTATCTTCTAGCTTTAGAAACACGTAGAAGAATATGAGGATAAGGACCAACAGAAGTAATTTCTCTGTAAATAGTATTAGGTAGCTGCGTTCATTGACCTGTAAAGCTGAAGTAAAGACGCTGTGTGAATGTAGCATAAAAACAGCAGCACAGTTAGTGGTGAAAAGGATGGACTCTGAAATCATACTACTGGACTTGAATCCTGGTCCTCCTTTTAGCTGGGACCTCAGCCAATCTCTTTTTCTGGAAATATTTAATACGTACATATAGGGGTTTTGTGTTTTTAATGAAATATGTAATGTGATAGCACAGTATCTGGCTTCTGTTAATTACTAATACCTTGATCACCTTTTCAAAATTTTAGCAATGATTGTATTACAGTGATGACAAGACCTGTATCATTTTTCTCAAGAGTAATGAAAAATGTTGACCTTCATCCAGGCATGGTGGCACACGCCTGTCATCCCAGCACTTGGGAGGCAGAGGCAGGAAGATTGCCTTGAGTTTGAGACCAGCTTGGGCTATATAATGAGTTCAGGGCTAGCCTGAACTATATAGCGAGAACTTGTCTCAAAAAACAAAACAAAAAAATAAAATAAAATGTTGACTTTCAATATTAGAAAAAAATGATTAAGGAATAGCATCAAAGGTAGATCATGTGCCAAAATACCAATACTTTCTACAATCAAGATTTTATTTTATTATTTATTTATTGTTTTATTATTTTTTGAGACAGTCTCACTTTGTAGTTCAGGCTGGCCCTGAACTTACTATGTAGCCCAGGCTGGCCTCAAAATCATGGCAATCCTGCTGCCTCAGCCTCGCAAGTGCTGGGATGACAGGCCTGTACCACCACCCCCAGCTACAATCAAAATTTTAATAATGACTTTAATAAATTTATAAAATAGGTTAAAAAATATATAAATCTCCACATAGCTACCACTCAGATGGAGATATAGAACATTTCTAGTCCCCTATAAGATTCCCTTGTTTCTCTACCTCTGTATCCAGAGGTTACCACTCTCTTGGCTTATTGCCCTTCATTATAAAGATAGTAGGTTTCAAAGTGTGGTCTGTGGGCTCCTGGGGGTCTGCAAGATCAAAAGTATTGTATTTTCATAGACATTTACCTTTTATACTGCTTTAATATTTGCATTGATGGTATGGAAGCATTAATGGGGAGGACTGGAGTGTAGCTCTGTGGTAGAGCATACACTTTGCATATTTGAGCCCTTGAGTTCAGCATCAGTGGGTAAAAAATACTATTGCTTTAGCATGAATCAAAGCAGTGGTACCATATGTACTAGTGGCCATTGTATTCTCCACATTTAAATGTGCAGTGTAATCACAGTTAAGAGTTGGTTTCACTTAAGTATATCCTTGATGTATTAGTAAAAATTATAAACTGCTGCCTGTGGTGATGCATGCCTGTAATCCCAGCACTCAGGAGGCTGAGGCAGGAGGATTGCCACAAGTTAGAGGCAGCCTGGGCTACATACATAGTGAGTTCAAGGCCTTCCTGAACTACATAGTGAGACCCTGTTTCAAAAAAAATTACAAACTTTATTAAATTTCACTTTTTTTGAGAAAAGTTCTTGCTATATAGTACAGAAGTCCAGGCTGACCTTGAACTTGTGATACTCCTGCCTCAGCCTCCTGAGTGCTGAGACTACAGGCATGTGCCACTATGCCCAAGAATAAATTTCAGCTGAGTATTTATTTATCTATTTTGTTTTGTTTTTCTTTTTTTGCAACAAGGTCTCACTATGTAGTTTAGGCTGGCCTGGAACTCACTGTGTAGCTCAGGCTGGCCTCCAACTCGCAGCGACTCTCCTGCCTCAGCCTCCCAAGTGCTAGGATGACAGGCATGTGCCACTATGCCCAGCTAACAATTGTGATTTAAAAAAAAAATACCTCATAGTGCCACATGCCTGTAAACCTAGCTACTCTTGAGACTCTCAAGAGGATTGCAAGTCTGAGATCAGCCCGGGAAACTTAGTGAGACCCTGTCTCAAAATAAAAACTAAAAAAGGGCTAGAATGTAGCTCAGCACTCCCTGGCTTCAGTCCCCAGTACTGAAAAAAAAAAAAAAAATCCGCAACACAGTGTGTTAGCATTTAACAGATTGACATAATTCAGTGAATCAGTATTTTCCAGATGACCAGTGTATGATGGCATAAAATCATATATGTGAATGATTCATTCAGAACTAAAGATGGACCCATGGAATGTCATGTTAAAAACCACCTTTTAAAAAACTCCCCTTTTTTTTGCTGGGTGTGCTGGCACATGTGATCCCAACCACTTGGTAGGCTGAGGCAAGGGGATTACAAATTCAAGCCCAGCCTGAGCAATTTGGCACCACCCTGTCTAAATAAAATCTGCCGGAGATGTAAGTCAGTGCTTCTTGGGCTCAACTCCTCGTGCCAAGAAAGGAAGGAAGAATCTACCAGCTGTTGAATTGTGATGTAGCCTTTTTTATTTGGTTTATGATTTCTTTTTTTTTTTTTTGGTGTTATTAGGGATTGAACCCAGGGCCTTGTGCATTGAGCCATGCCTCCAGCCCCATGATACAATATCACAGAAGAGCCTTTCTGTTCCTGGGCCAGGGATTTAGCTCAGTGGTGCCGCCACCTGCCTCACAAGCGCATGGTCCTGAGTTTGATCCCCAATACCAAAAAAAGAAAAAAAAAAAAAGTAAGAGCCTTTCTTTTCTAACTGCTTATCTGTGTGAAGGTAGACATATATTAAGCAGGTATGAGAATCTACCTGCTTTCTATTAAGCCAGACTAAATTAAAGAGGTTTGCAAAAATGTAAAACAATATCACTTTTTCATTAAATTTTTTGTTTGCTTTAGGAAATAGCTATTTATTTCATAAAAACATTATTTTTAATGTGAATATACTAATGGGTGTAAATTACAAATAAAAGCACTTTGGAACGCAGTAATTTTTGAGTAGAAAGGAGTCCAGAGGGCTGGGGATTTAGCTCAGTGGTTCCAGTGCCTGCCTTGCAAGCACAAGATCCTGAGTTCAATCCCCGGTACCAAAAAAAAAAAAAGTGATACATATTGTAGAGGGTTTGTCAGGTACAGGAGAATTCATATTAGAATAGAAAAATCATCTGTATTCTAACCATCTAGAGATAACTACTTTTAATTTGATTTGTTGGATTAAACTTCTGTTTATTAGGAAAAAAGTTAAGAAATTAAAAAGACACTAAAGTCAGCAAAGGAGTTCATGATGCCGACTCTGATCAGCTGACCGTGGTGACTGCCAGGCTGTGCCAGTGTGATGTTTCCTTTCCTTTCTTTACAATTAATAATTTTTGAAGGACCACTTTGAAACTACATAAATACCCCATCTTGCATTGGATTTTCAATCCATTTTATTAAAAAGGATTCAGAATTTCCTATTTTGTCCTGTGGTTTAAAATCTGACACTGTAGCCAAGGATGGTGGTACACACCTATCATCCCAGCACTTGGGAGACTGAGGCAGGAGTATCGCTTTGAGTTTGAGGGCAGCCTGGGCTACATAGCAAGACCCTGTCTCAAAATAAAATAAAGGGCTGCGGATATAGCTCAGCAGTGCAGCGCTTGCCTGGCAAGCAAGAGACCCTGAATTTGAGTCCCAGTACCAAGGACAAAACAACCAACACCCCCCAAAAAATCAAAATAAAATAAAATAAATAAAATCTGACACTGTCAGTATTTTGATGCTTGTACCAGATTTGATCAGTGAGAGGTCCTTCATGCTGACTTCTGTGTCCTTTGAACTCCTTGCTTTTTGGCACAAGTAGTAGTTTAACTTAACTTACTAATAATCACTGTAGGACTTTTGTCTTTTTTGTAATATTCTAGAGTACATTGTTCTTGAATATTGATTATCTGAATATAACATATTTTCACAGTTTTTGAGTAAAAGATCAGTTAACCTCATCTAACCAAGGGTCATCTAACCTCAGAAGGGCACTTACTTTTACAAAAATTACTTGCGTATTTACTGTAACTTTTTTATCATGTGTGTCAACTCTAATAACCAAAGTGAGACCAGGGATCCTAACTCCATAGTCTCATCCTCAAATACTACACTGTACTGCTTTCAACCAAGGTGATTAAAACAGGCACTTCTAGGGTGGGGCTTGTAGCTCAGTGCCACCGCACCTGCCTGGCAAGTGCAAGGTCCTGAGTTCAATCCCTGGTACGGGGAAAAACAAAAAACAGGCACTTCTTTTTAGCAATTCATGGGTAAGGGAGAAGAGAGACAAGTAAATAATTTATGCTCTAGTATGATAATTACCTTAGTAGAGATATGTGTAAGACTCTGAGGATAGAGAGAAGACTTTCATTCTGTCTGTAGAGATGCATGTGTACCAAATCCTCTTTTGTCTTTCCTTTGACAAATAGATGATAGAGCTAAAAATTATGTTTAAATTTTCCTAATCCTCTTGGGTTTCTGTGACTGTGTTTTCTCCTTTTATTTATTTATTTATTTATTTATTTATTTATTTATTTATTTTTGGTGGTGTTGAGGGTCAAACCCAGGGCCTTGTGCATGCTTGGGAGGTGCTGTACTGTTTTTGATCATTGATTCCTATTGGTAAAGCTAAAAAACAATTCAAAATCCTTATACTCTTTAAAAAGATCTATACTATAAATCTACATAATAAGTAAGCATCAGGACTCTTTAACTGTATTCATCTCTAGAAAAATAATATATTCAGACTATCTAGTAAATTTTAATGTTTTCACAGGTGCCGGAGAAAATTTGGAGAATACAATGGCAGCTTTTCAGCAGTAAGTACAGTAGATTAATAGATACTCTTCTTCTATTAAAGAGATGATGATTCACAAATGGAAGATAGCATAGATGTGGCATCCATTTGTGATAGTTGTTGTAGAAAATTGAACTGCTTTCTTCATTTGGTTAGCTTGAAGTATAACTGTTTGGCTTGTATATAACTGAAAAACTAGATAAGAGTTTAGGGTAATCAAAAGATACTATAGTTCCAAAGCTGAAAGAAGACCTTAGTAACAAGGCGTATATTGTGTGTAATGCTAATTAGTCTTGGAGAGAAGGAGCAAATGAAACAACTATTGTATTGACTGCTGTTTATGATTAGGGTTATGTGTCTTTGTCCTCAGTAATTTTTGTTCCAATCTGAACCTGCACACTGTTTTCCTTTTGCAACCCTCATGAGTCTGTTGGTCTTTTTTTTTAATATTATAATTTGATATTGCATATAGTCCTTTAGAGCACTTCACAGAGAAGCAGCAGGAGAGACAGGAATGAAAGCTGATTGGTACCATTGTTCTTGTCCTAGAGTCAGTGATTATCATCAGTCTATGGTAATGATGAGAACAGTGTTTCTTTTCCTGAAAAACAAGGAATGTAAAAAATTAAACCCAATGGAAGATAATTTTTTTTTTTTTTGTACTGGGGATGGAACTCGGAACCTTCCGCTTGCGAGGCAGGTGGCGGCACCACTGAGCTAAATCCCTGGCCCCAATAGAAGATAATTTTGAGGACTTTTTTTTTTGCTTTTAACTTTTTGAGGGTTTTTTTTTTTTTGGTACCGGGGATCGAACTCCGGTCCTTGCGCTTGCGAGGCAGGCGGCAGAACCACTGAGCTAAATCCCCTGCCCTTTGAGGGTTTTTTTTTTTTAATTGGGGTTTTGTTGTATTGCCCAGGCTGATCCCAAATTCTTGAGGCATTTTTATGTATATAATTGAGACTAAGGAAGTAAGGAGTTTTTCATTTTGTTCTTTGTAGTGCTGGGGTTTTGAACTCAGGGCTCTGAGTATGTTAAACACGTTGCTTTTCCAGGGACTCTTAGCCCAGGAAAACTTGATCTAAGTTTTTATTCTACTTCCCAACAACCTGACACTTAGGATTATTTTTCCGGTTAACAGGTCCAGTGGTACTGTTTCTTCGTATTCTAGTTTCATCTGAATCCTGTCCTCCATGTGTTTTTCATCTCTTATTCTTTCTGTTGAGGATGATCTCAAAAATCTCTTTAAAAAGTGCAGAATCTTTCTGTTACAGACTGAAAGTGAATATTTTAATTTAAATTACCCTGTTGTTCTCTTAGATTCTACACCTACCAAGTTAGCTACAGTTAACTACAGACATATAATTTTATGTGTACAGTTTCCAGTGAGAGACACAGAAACACACACACTGTTATCATTTTTGCCTTGGATGTAGGTGATATAAATAACTTTGAAGAAACAGCTCATAATTTTGTGTGATTTTAGCATTTTTTATATTTGAAGCCCATTATTTTTGAGGCTTTTCTTTATATTCTTTAAAAAATGTTTACCAATCACACTTATTTATGAAATTACAATAGATTAAAATAGTGAGTGCCATGCGTGATGACACATGCCTGTAATCATAGCACTCCAGAGGCCAAGGCAGGAGGATCACTGTGAGTTTAAGACTCTGTCTCAGAATAAATAAATAAAAGTTATTTTTAAGGTTGGAACATTTGAAAATATCCCAATTTTTTACTCTAAAGATTCTAATCCTCGAATTTTTTCTTTTTTTTTTGGTACCGGGGATTCAACTTGGGTCTTTGGTCTTGCGCAGCAGGTGGCGAAACCACTGAGCTAAATCCCCGGACCTCGAATATTTTTTATATTCGAAGGATATATAATTTAGATATTTTTACTTGCTGAGCACAGAGTTACATTTCCCATCTTCAACAGTTTTTATACAGTTTTGTTCAGAGAGTAACTACTGAAAAGTGGTACAACCTTCTCTGTCACGTGGTATATACATGGTATTTTTACATACGATTTTTGCAGTGTTAAAGGTCGAAACCAGGGGCTCATGCTTGTATCCCCAAGACAACTGTTCACCTTTTTAGTTTTAAAGGTTTTTATGGTACTTCGGAAGAAGAAAGAAACTCTCTCATATTTTATTGTTAATGTTATTAGATATATTTATTTTTGTTAGCAAGATTTTCATCAGAGACCAAGTACCTGAATTAAACAAAAACCAAAAATCGAAAGAGGAAATGGCTCACAGTCTCAGAGGTTTCAGTCCAGAGGAGGCCGGCGTCCAGGGAGGAGCATCATGGTGGAGGCTGTGGTGGGTCAAAGCTGCTCACCTCATTGCAGCTGGGAAGCAGGGGCAGAGGAAGAGCCAGAGAGGAAGGGTGGGGCAAGCTGTCCCCTCCAAAGGCTCACCCTCGATGGCCCACCTCATCCCGGTAGGCCCCGCCTCCCAATAAACCGTTCACTTAGGAATTCATCACTGGATCAATCCACCTGATGAAGTTAGAGCCCTCCTGACCCATTGAGTTCCTCAGATCCTATTAAATGCCAAGCCTTCAACAGAGTCAGGTTTTTGGCTGCTTGTTAGCTAGCCAACCTTTTTTGTTTTTGTTTTTTGCTTTTGGGACAGGGTCTTGCTATGTAGTTGAGGGTGGTCTTAAACTCACTAGGTAGCCCTGGCTGGCCACAAACTTGAGCTCCTCCTGCCTCAGCCTCCCAAGTGCAGGGATTATGGGCCTGGGCCACCATGCCTGACTTGAATTTTTTTTTCTGTCATTCCCAGAATTTTTTTTCTTTTGAAGCAAAATATTGATTGGTACATTTTAGATATACATAATGATAACACTCATCATAGGAAATTTGCACCTGTACATGATGTATGCGCCTTTTCTTTTTTTCCCATTCCCGTCCTCCCTTCTCTATATACAAAAGCTTTGTTTCCATTTTTCCTTCTTTTTTCACTTTTTTTCTTGTCCCTTCCTTCCTTTCCTCCTCCTCCTCCTCCCTTGTTCCCCTTCCCATTTGAACATTTTCTTCCCATTTCCTGATAACTATTATACATTTTGAATTTTATATAAAACCTAAATCCAAAAGGCTTTATTTTTTCTTTTCTTTTTTTGGTACTGGAGATTGAACTCAGGACCTTGAGCTTGCAAGGCAGGTGCTGCGTCACTGAGCTAATCCCTGGCCCTAAAAGGCTTTAATTTTTTTTTTTTTAAAGGCTTTAATTTTAACTTTTCTTTTTTTTTTTTGATCCAAGGTCTCATTAGCCCACACTGTCATCAAACTCACAATTCTGCCTCAGCTGTCCACGTGTTGGGATTATGGATGTGTGCTAACCTGACCTTTTTTTTTGGTACCAGGGATCGAACTTGGGACCTTGCGCTTGCAAGGCAGGTGCTGGAACCACTGAGCTAAATCCCTGGCCTACCTGACCTATTTTTAAACCTTTTTTGAGGGTTTTTTGGTTTTTGTTGGTATTTGGGTTTTGCCTTTTGGGGGGGGGGGGGTTCTTGGTCTTATGCATTGGTATTCTTGCTATTAATACATACTTTTAAATTTTTATTTGTATTTTTAATTTTGAGATAGGATCATCCTAAATTGCTCAGGGTGGTCTTGAACTTGCAATCCTCCTAGCTCTGTCTTCTCAGGAGCTGGGATTATAGGCATGTACCATTACACCTAGCTATATCTACCTTTTTTTTTGAGACAAGAGACTTGCTATGTCTTTCAGGGTGGTCTTGAACTCACTACATAGCCTGGGCTGGCCTCAGACTTGCAGGGATCCTCCTGCCTTGGCCTCCAGGGTGCTGCAGGTGTGTATCACCATATCCAGCTATATTTACTTTTTAATTTACAAATGTTTTACTGTTTAACTTCCATGACACTTAGATTTTTTCTCCCTTAAATATCTAGCAACATGATGCTGATTGTAATGGTGCATGTCTATAGTCCCAGCTACTTGTGAGCTGAGGCAGGAGGATTTCTTAGGCTCAGGTGCTCAAGACCAGCCTGAGCAACATAGTGAGGCCTTGTCTAAAAATCAAAAAAATAGGCACCCTATTTCAAGGTACCATATATTAAAAAGCTAAAGAACTGTAACACATAATCAGCAAAAGATAGATGCAGTGCTTAAGTGTACATATCCTTGATAGGATGGGTAGTTGGGGAGAGAGAAAGGCCAGCTAACACTTAGATCTTACTTATATACACATTTACAAATACATTTAGTCAGGCACTAAGGTGCATGCCAGTAATCCCAGCTCTCAAGAGGGTGAGGCAAGAACATGTCAAGTTTGAGTCTAGTCTGGGCAATTTAGTGAGACCCTGTCTCAAAACATCAAAAAGAAAATTTTTTTTAAAAGTTAGATATACATTTTATAAAGCATATATATCATGGAGGTGAAGATGAGAAAATATTAGAGTGTAAATAGTTGATGTGAGGGAGCCTGGTTTAGGTTAACCAGAAAATAGAGAAGATACTCATTCTAGAAAAGCTATCATTTGAAAAGAGGAAGAAACTATCTTTTAATTTTTTATTTATTTGGTTTTCTGAGAGTGTCTCATTATGTCTGTAACCCAGGCTGGCCTCTAACTCATCCTGCTGTAGCCTCCAAGTGCTGGGATTACAGGCATGAGCCATTATGCCTAGTTTGTTTGTTTGTTTGCTTGTTTATTTGTTTATTTATTGTGCTGGGGATCAAGTCTAGAGTAGGGCCTTGCACATGCTATGCAAGCACTCTATCACTGAGATATGCTCCCAGTCTAAGAAGAAGCTATTTTTAAAATGTAAAATATTGAGATTAAGATGTGATGGTCAGTGGACAGGTGTATCGAGGAAATTGAAAGGACTTTAGGGATGTATGGGAAATTAATTCATTATGTTATAATGGAGTAGAGAAGTAATTTGGACTGACAGATAATTGCATCTCAGTTTATAAAGTGTCTTTACATGTGGTTTATAAAATGCTTTCACAAGCACCACCTCCCTCAGTTATTAATATGGCTCTTCTAT